CCTTACCGCCTCCTTGGCGTGGGCCAGGGCCCTTGGCCAAGGTGAGGGCCTTCCCACAGGAGCGGTGAAGGTGGAGGGCAGCGCAGCGAAAAGCTCTTAGGCCTGGTGCAGTCAGCGCCTTGCTGTAGGTCAAACTCCAGCCTGTTGCTTGTCCTGTGCAAGGCCGGGATTTTTTGCCCTTGCAGAGACAAGGGACTATCCTACTTCAAAATGTCTTCTCTAGCCTGCAGAACATGCCAAGGTGAGGGCCTTCCCACAGGAGCGGTGAAGGTGGAGGGCAGCGCAGCGAAAAGCTCTTAGGCCTGGTGCAGTCAGCGCCTTGCTGTAGGTCAAACTCCAGCCTGTTGCTTGTCCTGTGCAAGGCCGGGATTTTTTGCCCTTGCAGAGACAAGGGACTATCCTACTTCAAAATGTCTTCTCTAGCCTGCAGAACATGTCGTTTTGCATGGGGCAGGCACAGGTTTCCCCTGCAGGAAGAGCTTTGTGCAAGAGCCGATATGACCTTAGACTGCTGGAAGCCCAAGGACACACACATGCAGGCCGCTTGTGAAAGAGGATTCATTCATTTATGCCTTGCTAGATTTAAAAGTCTGGGTTATGTCTGTGCATTTAACAACTTTGGAATTCATTTTGGTGGGGTTTATTTTTTCATTTCAAAATGTGTATCACTGCCTGCTGGTCTTTCTGGCTTTTTTTTTGTCGCTGTTTTGCTACATTTTCTGCTAGTGTAATGCACGTACAGGTTCGTTGAATGAAGTAGCTATTCATAATAATGCCTCCTGAAAACAGTGCTATCAAATTGCATGGCAGTGTTTGCTTCTGTATCGTTTATTTTGTATCTAGCTATGCAAAGATTGCTGTCTTTCGTGTAAGACAAATGGCTTAGTAGATAATAGCCTCATAATTTTACAGACTATTATATGGGAACAGCTGTGCTCAAATGTTTGGGTTTTTTATAGTTTTTTTTCTTCCTCTTGCAGATCCGTGCTGGATCAAGAGTCTTGTACAGACCAATTTCAGCATCTGTGTTGTCTAGGCCAGAGGTCAAGAATGGAGAGGTACCTTATAAACAAAATTCTGTATCTTCCTAAATTATCTGGTGAGCCTAAATGTTCTCAACCTAGAGTTCACTTGTACTAACTCAAAGATCTATAGTGTGAAACTTGCTTGAAGTTAAACACCTAATAATGCCTGTTGCTGTCTTGCTGTTTCCCCTGAGTAGTCTTTCGCATTTAATGTTGATTGCTTTCAGGTGGAACAGGTAACATCCTGAATTTTTTAACTCTTAGTTATAGTCTCATCATTTGGAAGAGGATCTAGACATTGGATCTAACACAACTTTTAAAGCTGCAGAATAACACTGTCAAAGTGGTCATGTAATATGGTCTGTGTCTGAATATAATGCTCTTTCATGTTTTGTTTTCTTAGGGCAACTCAACACTTAATGGGGCCCAAAATACTGTCTCCCGACTAGCACTTAGAGAATTCCAGACTAGTGCTATCAGCAGGGACATTGACACTGCTGCCAAATTCATTGGTGCTGGTGCTGCCACAGTAGGTGTGGCTGGTTCTGGTGCTGGTATTGGAACAGTCTTCGGTAGTCTAATCATTGGCTATGCCAGGTAATCAATCTCTCTTATAAAATTCTTCAACTGCATGCACATGTATGAAACAGCACCACCAGATAAGCTAAGTTGTAGTAAAAGGATGTCGGCAGTGTAATAAATTCTGTTAATAATTACTATTAATGATAGACATGGCTAAATAGAGTCATATGAAACTGTAGTATGTTCATCAGGGTGGCTGTATTGTTAAAATTAGAACTTCGTACACTCTGCCTGGAGAAGAGACATGAAAGAAATGAGATCATTAGACTTGGTCGGTGTTTCAGACACTGAAGTCCAATGTTTCAGCATTTCGTTCCAGAACTGAATTAAAAATCTAGCCTGGATTTTTTCCCATGTGAGAGGGGAGGAGAAGTGCTAAAGAGAAACTGTATGAAAACTGATCAATAGTAATATGAGTTTATATGCTTTAGACTTAGTAGTCAGGATTGTTACTTAGAAATGGATGCTTAATTCATTTTTCGAACACATGCAGCTTTGCATCTCAGAATGTATGTAATTACTTTATCGAATGAGTAATCGTCCCTGAAGGAGGTGAGGGTGGGGATTTTATAGTAGGGATGAAATTCTTCCAGATAAGTTTACAATGTTCCTGTAGTAGGAATAGTTCACATGATATCATGGAAGAGCAGAACTAATACAGGCATAAAAAAGGCTTTATGGAAGGCTTCATGTTCTTCATTACTCTTTCAACCAGCTAAGACTTAATTAAATCTTATTTCTTAAAGATTTTTAAGCCCTACTGAAGACAAGTTTACTTTCCACTTGAAACATAAGTGTTTTCAGTAAAAAACTAACATCTCCCTCTTTGAATTTGGCATGAATGTGCCAATAAGATTGTAGAACGTTACTTCATAGTATTATGTTGAAGGTTTTTATTTTTGTTTTCCCACATACTTCTTGGAGGGTTAATTCATTGCATTTTTGCAACAAACTGCTGTGCATTTCTTTTTTTGCTTTAGGTGGTTTCAGTTCCTGTATTAGTCTGAGAGCTACTTAAAATGTTACACACAAACTTTGTTGGAATGTAGTTCTAATGTCACAGATGTGAAATAAATTTATAAAGCATAGTGCTGATAGTTCCTGCATGGGAGGATGTAGAGAAGTCAAATTCAAAAGCATATATGAATGTAGTCACAAAAACTGTGCTCATTTGGAAAAAGCTATATACAATGTGTATAACCCGAATCTACTGTTAATTGCCAAGTCATTTTTCTTCCATGAAATCCTTACTAAAAATTACTTCTGCTTGGATTTATTGGATTTTCCTGTTACGGAATCTGTGGCAAGGAGTACAAGGTTCTGAATCGGTCAGATGCATTAAACTGTATGAAAACCATCTTAATTGTAAAGATAAAAAGGTCTTACACCTTCGCTTTCTTTTAGAAATCCTTCTCTGAAGCAGCAGCTGTTCTCATATGCTATCCTGGGATTCGCCCTGTCTGAAGCTATGGGTCTCTTCTGTCTGATGGTTGCTTTCTTGATCCTATTTGCCATGTGAAAGGAGATCTGCCTATAATACTGGCATTGGAATGTAACTCTGCATTTTATGGGACTCCCAAAATGTTGGTGTCATGGAAATTGATGCTATTTCCAAAGTCATTTCATTAAAGATAACAACTTTAACTGTCAACCTGTTGCCTGCATTTATTATCTTTCTCGCCAGGATATCTGCAAGACAGCATCTTGTCGTTCAGTCACCATGCATTTCTCCTGGTAATGACATATCACATAGGACCCTTCAAACAATGACTTCAAGTCAAACATTTTATTTATTAATATATATAGGGATGTCACTTGTTTGTTCAAATTAGCATGGCATATCTTTGAAGGATCAAAGGATACACAGATTAAATGTGAAAGGCTATACTGCTGGCCTTGTTGTTCCACTTGTTTCAAATTTATCCAGAGCTGTTTCTGTGCACAATTTGTTTTGTTTTGGTTTTTTTTTTTTCCTCAGGCTAGCTGGCACATAAGGTGTTCTGGCATCTCTTGATAGATGGAGCTAAACACAAATCCACAAGCAGTGATAGGAAAGTTCCCTTTGCATCAGTTTTCAGTTACACTACAAAGTTTGATCACCATGGTAAAAATTTTCCAGTTGGTTCTGAGCAGTGTCCCAGTTGAACTGAACTGACTACTGCTTTAGATTGGTCCAAGGCATTTAACTGCAGCACATTCATACTATAGACTTACGTAGTTACTGTGTTCTTGGCATCACCTAATTAAAAGGGAGAACTTCCAGCTTCCCAATTTTGTAAAAGTCCAGTGTTATCTGCCAAATTCTTTTAAGAGCAGTAGGATCAAAGCATTTTTAGTAACAAAATATCTGCAGTATCAAACTTTGCTTCTCACAGTATCTGTCTTTTAACAATCTAAATGCATTTATGGTGGTGTCTACACTTATAGGAACCTACTCTGCGCTACTATACTAATCTGGTGGGGGGGTTTATAGCATCTCAAACTTGAATATTAAATCATAGATTGGGTCATTCAATAAATGTAAGCTGGACTTTGGAAGAACATGAGCAAGCTTGTTACGAGCTCTGTCATCTTGATGTTAAATTAGTAATTACTGAATTAAATCTAGGAAACTTTACTGTAGGCTGCCTATCCCTAGGGAAATGGTGAAATGACTTGGCTCTCAGATCAGTGCAAGGTGCAGGTAAGACCTTTGTTTTCATCTGAATTCAAATACCAAATTAGTGTTCGTGTAGTCTAACTTGGACCTAGCATGAGAAGCTACTTTCCCCATATGTTCTTCGAAGAAAATGGTCATCTTCTCAATAGGATTAAAAGTTGCCATGTAAATCCTTTTACATAACTGAGGTTTCAGAGTGTAGAATATGCAGCATCTTTAAATGATCATCTCTAGCACAGTATTAGTAGTGCCTTATATGGCTAGGTCTGGAAGTGGGGTTTTCGGGGGGTGAGGGAGGGGTAGGAGGTAAAGCATATTGCAGCCATCTTCCATGTGGTCTATGCTCACGCTAGGTTTGTTTATGAACTTAACTGTGACCCATTCTTGTAAGCTATTCTGTTACAGAGCTGACATATAGTGCATTTGCCCTGCATGAAAGGCAGATAACGATTACTAGAATTCTAGGCTACTGCTCCTTTGTGTACTGCCATCCTTCTGGTGGATGATGAACTTGGTTCTGTTCTTTCAGTACTGTAGAGATCTGTGCAGGCATCTGAGGTGGTAATCCATATTTCCTAATGTCGTGGACAAGTCTAGTGGACTAACTTAATTCAAGCTTCAGATTTCCATACCACTGGGATTTGGCCCAAAAAGGATCTTCAGACTTGTCTTGGTCAAGCCTAGCTCCACCTCTGTTAATCATACTTATCAATTTGGTTACATGTAAAATGGTTCTGCCAAGTTAAAATTGTGTGTTTGGCATGGAGAGAAGTTCTGGCTAAGCTATTGCTCCATAACCTCAGTAAGAAAGCCGCCTCTGTCACCATGAGCTGCTTGAATCAGCTTTGAATAACGATTTATGGATTTACATTCCATCTTTTCCCATGTCAACATGTACCTTTTCCCCTATGATCAGCCTTGTTTGAAAGGCAGCACACATCTTGGGTGACCCTGTATATGGATGTAAAGCCTGTCTATTTTAGTATTAGCATCTCCCCAAGTTTGTTACTTTTTGACTCACTCTTGGACTGGTGAACATGGGCCAAACCCAAGCAAAATTGCTATTAGGTTATGCTAATCTCGAAAGCATCAGATCTCAGTGTTACAGATAAAAACTAATCAAGGTCTTTCAAAACATGGCAACAAACCTTCATGCAGGGGATTATCCTCCTTATAGACAATAAGGGGCTTATGAGCGCTGGGCAGATTTTCACATCTGAACCATCACAGGGCACACTGACTCCCTTTCTCTATTGCTCTGTTTTCACCACTCTTGAAACATGGAGCTTGGTTTCAGTGGTTACTTCAGCACTTCAGTAACAGCTTGGTTGTCTTATAAAAATTTTTCGCGGTTTTCCTAAAATACCTAAAAAAGAAACAACTATAGATGTGTAAAAGATTATTACTTTTTTTTTAAATAGTTCTTTGCAGCGATTGGGCAGCAGGAAGCTATCTAAAAGGACTCTTGATCTTCTGTGTAAGAGTTTACATCAAGAAATCTTTTTCATAGGTCAGAGAAACCAGATACAAAGTTCCAGGAGGTGATACTGTAGGCTTCACCTTCCTGACACCGTTGTCAGTTTTTCTGATGTGGACGGTGCTGACCTTAGAGAATGTCAGCTCAGGAAGATTCATGTTGTAGATTCTCCAGCTCCAAAGACTGTGTTCGTGTTTCAGTGTTGAAGATGGAGCCAGCTGGAGCAGAGATCTTCATTGCTGCTGAATAACTGCTCTGCGTGTTGTCCCAGTAGATCCAACATCATTCCACCTGTGAGAGTGATGTGCACAATACTGTTATCCTAATCTACAATGAAGGAAATGTTTATGTTACTAATTGAGTTCCTAAAACATTGCTGCGGGTAAAAATGATTCATCCTTTCCATCTTCCTGCTTTCCCTCTGTTTTCAGACTGAGGAAAGGCAAAGAACTTGTAGTTCAGTTCTCTGTTCAGGACTGATGCTGCCATGCGATGGTAGGTCTGAAACACTGAAAAATGCTTGTTTCCAGTACAGTTCTTAGTTGCTGTGTGAAGAAGGAAGTAAAATCTCTATTCCTCTCTTCATTATCTCATGTTTGAGCCCTTCGCAACATGCTTATAGAACTGAATAATGTCACTTTTGCATAAACTGTACTTTTATGCAGTGTTTTTTATCTTACCTTATCTCAAAAAACTTTGCAGAAGTGCTGTACAGTGCCCACCCAAACAATTTAGAAGAAATGAAACATACCATACTGTCTTTTGCAAGTACTAGGAAACTTAGATGTAATGTAATTTACTAGAACTAATACTTCTTTTTTAGAAGGGTTGTTTGGTTGGGTTTGGTTTTTTTGTTATTCATAGTATCGTACTCTCAGGTCAGTCTCAGAACAAGGCAGTTCCAAATGATACATGGACACAGAATTAAAACTTCATCTGTGATTCTGAGCACATACTTGCTAAACTGTGTCCCCATATGTGATTATGATACATTTTTTTAACTCATCCAAAATGCTAATTACTTCTGTGTTAAATTTAGGTAAAGATGCTTCCCTTCCCTGTACAGTGCTGCAGCATTTTTGATACAACGTTAAATAAGGTGAATGTTTGGCAGAAGAATGGCTTCAGGCGCACACCCGGTTGCTGCCATGAGAGATGTGCTGTGTCGGGAGACCGGGAAACCCCAGGAATACAACCAGTACACGGGTTTGGAGGGCCGAGTATTCCAAAACTTCGAGGTGATGAGCACATCAAGTGCTGTCACTAAGCAAAGCCGTTTAGCCTCTGCCCTCCCCTGCCCTAGCTCTCCTGCGGAGCCAGCACCGGAGGACCGGGCAACTTCAGCCCACAGCTCCGGCAAGGCTGCACAAACCTGCCTGCAACAGCAGCTTGACCCAACGGACACAGTTTGGGTGGCTCTCCAGGCAGGTGTGTTGTCCAGATGTGGACCCTAGCAGGTCCTTTAACGCCACTACGAGAGTTCCTGGCCGACCAGGAGGCGAGAGCTGCCATCTGCACCGTGCGCTGGTCACTCGGAAGGCCGCTCCTCGGTCGCCCATCCGTGGGCGGACGGAGCAGCGCCTGCTTAGCTATACCCGCGTCGCGACCCCCTTCCCCCCCTC